CATCAGCATGACAGGCGGGGTGCGGAGGAAGAAGGCTCAGCGTGTTTAAGTCAGAGCTGAATATTAGATTCTAGTCACTATTTGATTGATCTTTTAAGCAATTCTGGGATTCTGTCACTTAAAAACCAATAAATCTTTGAAGGCCTGGGGAAAGCAATGCAAAAGCAATAAATCTCTATTGCGGAGTATTAGAAATATAGGCCAAGCAGCCGACGTGGTTTGGCTGGAGAGATGAGGGTGTGGGAGCCCCACACCGCAATCTTCCCTTCCTCCCTTCCTTGCCTCCCAGCACGCTCAGTCCTGTGAGAAGGAGTCAGGCCCCGGGGGCTGCGAACGGGAAGCCAGCGGCAGAGCAGGGGCTGGAGGGCGGCTGGGCCAGGGCCAGGGCACTGCTGGCAAGAGGAGGAGGAACAGCCGACCTGGGCAAGGCTTGGTGGCTGGGGCTAAGCTGTGCATCTGTTTGAGGACAGGCAGACCCTCAACTCAGAGAGACGTGCTGAGGTTCCCAAGTTACAGGCTAGGTCCTCGCAACCCAGCACTGAAGGGCCCCTGAGAAGTCCTCTTGCCTCCCCTTCACTTCCTAGCTGATGGAGGTTCACTCCACAGCATTCCCACCGAAAGGCTAGCGAGACATCACTTGAGATCCTGGGCATGGGAACCTCACCACCTTTTGGGGGGAGCAATGAACTCAAAGGCAAGAAGCAAGGTCTGGGTTTTGGCTGTACATGTAACAAGCGTGGTGACCTTGGACCAATCATTTAACATCTTAGAACTCAGCTTCATTCTCTGAAATGGAGTTGGTATTTCCAACCCAGCTTACTGTGTACATAGCCATCACATGATACAAGGGAATGAAAGGACCTATCAACTACAAAATGTGATTCCGGGCATCCTTGGTCCAATGCATCCAGTGAACTCTTTGTGCCCAATGGTTGCAGCCTTTGATGTTTTCTCAATGCTCCTGCTTCCCCCAACCTGCAGGGCTCCACACTGGCCACTGGTGCTCATCTCTCCAGCCAGTCTTCTCTCAGCCAATGTAGTCCCTGTCCTCACTGGCCTCATATTCTCGTGCTGGGACAGTTTCAGGAACTCATTTGCTTCTTTGTGTAATGCCCCACCTCCTGGCCCCATTCACAGGCAGTTTCAGGATGCTAAGCCTGAAGACGACAGGTGTGTGCCTATCTTGTTTCCTGCCATTGCCTGCCTATCTCCTGTTCCTGGGGCATAGCATGTGCTCCATAAATGTTGACTAACTTATGGGTCAACTGCTTCCCATAGGGGCATCCTAGTGCCCTGAGTTTAAGGTGAAAAAGGGTTAACTGAAATCTATTGTAATATTGCCATTGCTGATATTGCAAGTTGTCCTGAAAGTCTTGCCAAGTGGCATTGGTTAGTCTCTTATCCTTTCCTTGCAAATGCTCAAGCAATAGTCTGAAAATAATTCCAGAAATGGAGTGTACCCACCCTCAATGATCCAGAAACTTGGGAAGAAAATCAGCCAGACATTTCCAGACACCAAGCATTGCCCCTTTGAGCAGTGACATTTATTTTAATTTTTTTCCCATGGAAATGTCACCAAAATACATCATGCACAACTTTCTCCTAGGGACGTGGTATTGTAGAGCGGAATGAGTTTTGGCTTAGGGTCAGCTGGGCTGGGCTTCAGTTTTTCCTACACCATGTGCTTATTCTGTGGTCTGGGGCAACTCACTCAGTGTTTGTCTGTCTCAGTTTCTGCATCTGCAAAACGGGGAGACTATTGTTGCAATGTTGTGAGCGTGCAGGTAGTTTACAGTGACAGGCACACAGCAAGTCCTTGCGTGTTAGATGAAAGCTAGCAGGTTGTTTTTACTTGAAGACATGGACTCTAATGCTACAATTTTGGGGTGAGCCAGGAACAACGAGTGAACAATCGTGGCTGTGGGGAGCTGCAGCATGCAGACCTCCTTGTTTCTGTGTCAGTTTTATAGAGTTTTCCTACTTTCTGCTCCCTGCCAACTGTCACTTGTCACTGCTACGAGGGCATTTCCATTCCCTCCTCCTACTTTACTGTAGTCTTAGGATGCATGAGATTCAACAGATGGGCATTCTAAGAGGATATAGGCTCCGAGGGACCGTGTAAGGGGCTCCTCTTGGTGGGAACTGGAAGAGCTTTCCCAGGAACATTGGTTTGGGCTGCTCAGAGGACCCCTTTGCTGGTCTCTGCAGTCAGGCAGGCCTGGGTATTAGTCCTGGCTTCATCACGTACAGGCTCTGAGACTGAGCTTCAGTTTCCTCATTTCTAACAGAAAGGTACTACTCATAGGCTAGTCAAGGTCTTGGACTGCAGTAGTTGCCCAATAAAACGCAGTGCTAATTACTTTGATCAGTTTTCAGAGGCTCATAGACATTTAATCTGATTTGCCCTGAGGATGAGACCCTAATCTTCTGTATGAAATTTAACTTTATGCAGCCACTGGGCAGAATCCAGATTGCTTATTTCTTAGTACAATTTAAAAAAAAAAAGTGTTTCAGAAACTTTGTGCTAGAAAAAAGTTAGGTGATCTTCAGGAAAAAGCAAAGTCCTTCCCTCCCCACCACAGAATAAGGTTCTCAAAAAAGCTTTGGAAATTTGAATAGAAAGGGAGCAGGCAACGCTGTGACCTTGTAATGGGATAGGTTTTTCAAAAACCATTTTGGACAGAACTTCCTAAGTTCCAAAGAGAAGAAGCAACGCTCACACAGGAACTAACTCTCTGAGAGCCAGCCTTGCTTTGGGTTCTATATTTTAGCCAGCCTCCATGAAATAACCACCCTCGCTACTTTCCAGATGAGGAAAACGCAGGTTCAGACATACTGACTCTCTTGTCCAAGGTCACACAGCAGTGTCAGTGTTAGAGCAGGATCCGAACCCAGGTTCCCTGCCACTAAGCTCACCTCCTTTCAACTACCCCATGCAGCAGCCAGGAGACTGTGGGGAGCTGGCCTGAATCCGCATGTATCAGGAGCCACCATGGTGCCAGCTGATGTCCCTTCGCTGATAGGTCTGTGGGCTTGTGGAATGAAAGGGGCTGCCTGGGTCTACTACATAGAGGTCACGGTTTGGGGTCAGCGGCTAACTTACCAGCAACATCAGATACACTGTTTCTCTTTTCTAGGCCTTAGTGGGCCACCTGGAAAGCTTGCTAAGGTTTTGAAACATGACCAATGCTGCTGTGAAAGAGGTAAGAGCTGTGAAAGGGTAGAGGGCATGGGTGGCCAAAATGGAACATGTGACCTGGCACCTGGAGGACCTGCATTCAATCTCAGCTTTCCTACCTATTGCCTGTGTGCATGCGGGAATTTCTGAGCTTCAGTTTCTTCCTCTGAAAAGGATAATGGTATCTCAGTGTATAGGCATAATTAAATGACAATGTTGCATGAAAGTAACAGAGATAAGAAGCAAGTAACTCAGTGATTATTCAATGTAAGAGTCACCATGAGCTTTGGCTTGTTATGGCCAGGAGAGACCTGGAACAACCTATCTGTAGAATACAAGGCAAAAGTTTTTAGTTCAGGTGCTGCATACATGCTACACAAACCTGATGCAAGGTCTGAAGATTCACCTGACTGTGGAGAGAACATTGTCCAAAGTCCATGGAACTGAGGGGAACTTCCAAATTGCTGCCAATTGATTCTATCTGCTGCAAGGCCTATCATCTCTGGGTAGAGTTGGATCCAGGTTGGAAAACAGATAACTAGGCCATCTCGAAAGCTTCCTTCCTGGCTGGTCTCCCAGACGCCGGGTATCACAGAAGTGACACCGCATGTGGCTATCCAGTGGCTCCCCATGGGCCCTCACACCAGCCCGAGCAGCTCAGATATGGCTCCCATCATCACTCCACCCCCTTGCCTTAACCTTTATGCTAAAGCAAACTTAACCACTCCCGGCTGCTCCCAGGACAGCAGGCTGCTTCTCTCCGCTGCGCCTTTGCTCGGGCTGGACCCTCTTACTGCTTTCACAATAATTAAGATCCAGCTCAGCGTCACCTTCACTGGGAATTCTATCCTCTGAACTTTCAGAACAATCTATGCACATCTCCATAAGCATGCACTGTATTATAATTGTGTTTCCATCACCCCAACTTGAGTTTGGCTTTCTGTTGACGATAATTACTCAGGGCTAATTCACTACTGTATCCTAAGCAGTTAAACAGTCCCTGGCACAGCGTGATGCTCAACAAATAGTTGAATGAATACATGAATGAATGATTTTTTGTGCCTTGTGCCCCTCCCCATTCTGGGCATCTAAGAGATGCAATGTACACTTGTTAAACTGGACTGAGCCAGGTTGAAAGCCATTTGACCCAATATTCTGCTTGATTTCAAGAGCCTGTAGTCCTTCGATCGCTGAGCAAACCAGCAGTCAACATAGGAGCCGCTGTCCTTGTGCAAAGTGTAGCTGGTTTAAAAGAGATGCTCACCTTCCTGATAGCCATGAGCCATGACCTTGCCCTGAAACAGCTTAGTTACTGAGATGCTTTTATTGCCTGAGCCATAAGTATGCTCCTGAGCTCCAGCGGCGTCTTGTGAAAATCAGCAATACGGCTCTGACTTCAAGTCCCTCTGGGGGACTCCAGCACGCTAAGGCCCTACCCTGGGCCAGCCTGGAGGTCTGGCTCCATTCACAGTCTCCGAGCAGGCTGTTTTTAGAATTGAGTGTGTCTGTCCACTTGTCTGTTAACATCAGTCAGACACAGAAAGGCGACTGCGTTTCCAGGCTTCCCACCCACTAAATATATTTACCGTAGAGGTGACCCAGCCCTCCACAGGTCCCCGTCACCATGCACCCTCTGAATCAGTTCCAATACCCCACTGTGCACAGAGAGGCCCCTGGGCTCAGGCTGCTGACCCTCTTCCTCCGGGAAGCCCTGCTCCTGGCCAGCCCTGCCCATGGGCGCTGGCGGGCACATGATGCAGTGGGAGGCGGACATGGTACAGAGAAGGAACAGCGTGAACGCTTGGTGTAGCAGCCTCCTCACCTGACAGGGGCTCCCCTGGACTGAGCAGGCTTCAGCATCACCGTGATGGTTGTGTCTGTTTCGTTCAGCGGCGTGTCTGTGTCATACTCAGGCATGGACGGAGCTGGGCGGAGAAAAGAGAGAGTGTAGAGCTCTGCACAGGTCCCAGACCCCACTCACCACCTGCCCTCCTTCCCTAAGGATGCTCAGGATGACTGGCAGGCGGACGTTTGGGAAAGGCTGAGACGAGAATCGTGTGGCATCCCAGGCTTTCAGCAAAGGCGGTCCTGACCTCCAACCTGCCTGAGGGCTCCTTCAAGGTGCAGAAGAGTCTGGGGAAGGGTGGCAGCAGCATGGCCAGGAACCCTCATGAATCAAAAAGCCCCACACCAAATACACAGATTGATGCAGCAAAAATAAGTACTTGATAAAGATGTGAACGTAGTCAACCTTGTTCAGCGCATTTAAAATGCACATTTCAGCAGTAATGAAGTAATTCTTCTTATCTTTTTTTTTTTTCTTCATGAGACCCTCCCTCTCTCATCCCCAACCCATAGGAGTGCCACTGAATCTAATCCCTTGGGAAGGTAATTTAGCCATTTGTATTAAGAGCTATTAAAGTCTACATCCCTTTTAATTCAGTATTTCAATTTCTGGAATTTAATCCCAAAGTTATAATCCAAAGCAACGAATTGAAGTTTATTCTGTAACTGTTTATTGAAGTGGTATTTTATAAAATCATGGAAGCACCAAATATATCCAACCACAGGGGAATGTTTAATTAAATTATGTCCAAACACTTGACAGAACATTATAAGGAAAGCAATGTAGCAACGTTGAAAATGCTTATGGTATAAACATAAGTGGAAACATTAAGCTACAAAAAACACCATGGGTCCGATATGCAAAACATGTATGCATGTGGACCAGAAGGGCACAGGTATTCTAGGAAAATATAAATTGGAGAAAAGGCTCTGAGATAATTCTGCTTGATGCTGTCTGATGATGGAGGGGGGCCCTGCTGGAGGCGGCAGGTGAAATCTTGGACCACCCTGGCTTTGTGACATTCATTCATTCATTCATCAGACATTTCATGAGACTCTCTGCTGTGCCCTGCTCTGCCAAAATAAACATCCCTGAAAATAAATCACATTTTAAAAAAGCCATTGTGTATGAAAAAAAGGATTATTTAATACAACTGCATGGTACATCTCTCGGTGAGTCACTCAGCACCCCCTCTGGTCTAATCAATACGTTTCTTACGCTTCAGGAAGTTTGTGGGTTGGGTTTTCATACCACATGGTGACTCTGGCCCTAGCCTTTTTCACTCCCAGGAAAATCAGGAATGGGGAAAAACAAAGCAACAGCAGCGTTCTGAGAGAGATACCTGAAATTTTGGTGGCGATCCTTGTGGTGACGGGGGGCCCGAAGCCCTTTGCTGTGCTGGCCTTGATGGTGAAGGAGTAGGTGGTCCCTGGATACAGACCCACAAACAGGTGGTGGGTTTCATTCCGGAGCTTGAACACTTTCCCCCTCTGGCTGGAGAGGTCAGCACTCGGGTCGAGGGAGCCCACGGCCTTGTAGTTGATCTGCACAACAAGCCAGCAAACAAACCAATCAACACCTCACTAGGGATGCTGGACAGAGCGCACATGGGGGGACACGGGGTGGCGGGGGGAGGAATGAGCTTGGTCAGCGCATTCCGATGCTGCTGTCCACCTTACAGATCACCCAGCCTCCGCAATCGCCACTGCTGACGCTCAAAGGGAGTCACTGTCCAACAGAAATACAATGAAAGCCACAGACACGCTTTGCCATTTCCTAGTGGTCATGTTGAAAGAGAAAGAATGTAAAATTAAATCAAATCATATATTTTGTCAAACCTAATTAATATATGCAAAAATATTATCATTTCAACCTGTAATCAACATAGACAGTTAATGAGATATTCTATATTCATATTTTATAACATAAATAAACATCATTTATATTTATTCACAGGAAGTCTTAGACATCTAGCATGCAGTTTGCCCTTATGGCGTGTCTCCATCAGGACTAGCCACATTTCAAAGTCTAGCAGTGGCCCATGTGGCCTAAGGGCCACCGCCTTGGACAGTGCAGCTGTAGAGCAGTATTCAAAAGAAGTGTCTTCCTAATAAGTTATTTGGGAAGCCAGTTAAAAACGCAAAATAGAAACAGAGGCATGGTCACGTGGAAGAAACTGACAGCTGTCAGGGAGGAGAGGGGAGCGGGGACTGGGTGAAAGAAGGGGGAAGGACTAACCAAAGGACATATATGGACACAGACAACACTGGCGATGGCTAGAGGGAAAGAGCAGCCGGGACTGGGCGGAACCGGGCAAAGGGGAGAAAATGGGGACGTCTGCTATAAATTGTGTCAACAATAAAATAAAGAAAAAAATTGTAGCTCACAGCCCTCTACTCCACAGGGTGCTGCCTGCTGCCTTCTCAGGCATTATATTGTTTGTCTTCCCACCACCTTGGGGCATGCGGATATTTATTCTTACTTAAATGAGGGAGAAACTGAGGCTCAAATGGAAAACGACTTGCATTAAATCAGCACTCAAAATATCTATGGCGAAGGCCCAGTTTTGAGCTCCTTCATCCACTGCAGATCTGTAATAATCCGAACACAACATCACACGTGACCTGTCACGTGAGTCTGGCAATAACCACACTGGGCTACACTCTGTGCAAGAGGACGTGTCCACGGACCCTGAGTGCCTGAGTGTGGCTTGGGTGCCACAGCAATGTCAAGGCCCCATAGACGTTTCTAGGTGCTCGCTCTCAACTCCTGCACTTACCCTTCTGTGAAACAAACAAAACGGGGGCTTCCTGGCACTGGCCCCGTGGATCAACTCTGAATACCACGTTTCTAAATTAAACGTTTGCTCAAGTGGCAAACAGGATGTTTTTTGTTTGTTTTATCTGGTTTGTTCTACTAAAATTTACTATGGGAGTATAAAACACAAGCAGAAAACTATGCAGCTCAATGAATTTTCACTAACTAACTGGGCACCATGCCAATCAGCACCCAATTAAGAGAAAGAACATTACCAGACCCAAGATTTTCCTCTTGCGCCCCTTCAATCCTTCCCCGCCTCCCGTGGCAAGGATACTTTCTATCCTGACTTCTAACAAAGGAGGGCAGTTTTGCATGGTTTTGAACTGTATACACATGAAGTCATACAAGGTGTGCTCTTCGCTCAACATTATGCTTGTGAGACTCACGCAGGTTGTCACGTGTAGCTGCAGACCATGCACTCGAGGCAGGACTGAGTCCAGGTCCCTTATGCTGTAAAACCTCAGCTCTTTCTTCTCCCCACCTTGCCAGCCTGGGCACACACTGAACACAGCCATTCATTCACTTACTGCCACTTCACAAATGTCCCCTGCACACCCCCGTTTTCTAGGGCCTGCGCTGTGTGCTTCTGGGGCCTCCAGATGCATACAAGTTAAACACCATCGGGGTTAACTTACATTCTCTTCTAGAGAGAGGTAAGTCAACTACATGGCACCTTACATCCCTTTGTCTTCCATCACAAATGTCCCATGCTTGACAGGAAGGCCAAACCCAAGCAGAAAGGGGGACACCCTGACTTTGACTTCAAAAATCAGCGGCCTGTTGTTTCTGGCAAGGACACCACATGGTTTTGGAGAAAGGTAACTTTTCTCCCCTGATGCCGCATGTCTAGGAGAGAGGCCAGGCTTTTCCTGGAGTAGCATGAGCCCAGTGGGAGAAATGGCCAGAGCTGAAGGACTTGGGCATGTTACAGGCAGAGCCCGGCCAGGTCCCTGGTAGGCCTGGTCGCAGTGTTCTCTCTGGTCACCCCTGCCCACTCCAGCCCTTTCCAGCTAAGCTACAAACAGCGGCCTCTCTTTGCTCGGGGGCTTTTTGCTTGAACGCTGGCGAAGAGCTGGGTAATTAACACCCACTGGACTGGTGGGGGCTGGTGCATGCCTTTCTCAGGCCCCTCTCACCCTGCGGTACCCTACGGCATTTCCCTGGGCGATGCTGCTCCGCTGGCCTCCAAAGGCAGCTGCCCCGAAAGTATCCCCATCATTGGCTACCTCCCTTCCTCTTCCCCACTCCCTAGTGTTTCCTAAACTTCCCGATAATGCTGCTCTTCCAATCTTTGTCTCAGGGGTCTGCTTCTGAGAAACATCAAACGAAAACAAAGTGCTCAAGGAGGTGTCTCAGGGGGGGAACTGAACTGATGCACGAGGGTGATAGGGATTCAGAGCAGAGGAGAGAGCATTCCAGGTTCCAGGTAGAGGGAGCTGCGTGTGCCAAGGCCTGGGGTGGCAGAAGGCGCCTGGGAACTGAGCAACGCCCAGTGAGACTGGAGAGTGGTGAGCAGACGGGGGAGCTGAGAGCGAGCGCAGCTGGATTCCAGGCCTCCCTGTGGCAGGACAAGGAACACGTTCTGAGGCGTGACAGCTAACCCCAGCCCTCCGGTGGAGGGGGCGTGCATTTGCACCCTTTTGAATTGATATACAGGTGCTGGGAGGTAAAACGAATGCCTTTTTTTTTTAAACTAGCCAATTCCTTTTCTGGGCTCCAAATTCCAGAAGCAACTCAATTTCCACCAAGCTGTCAATATAATATACCGTGTTCCCCTGCTCTTCTAACCTTTCCTGGTATTACAGGATCCTCACTTACTTGTAATGAAACACTATGAATAAATCAATGTATGTTAATATAGTGTGTCTTCAATTTTTGATGAAGGGCTTCACCAAGTCTAATCCCCACTGCTTTGTCAGAAACAGTCTTTGAAATATTTAACTTGCAAGTTTTATGAACCTGCAACCTGGCGGGGGCGGGGGGTGAGTCAGGCTGGGGAGGGAAAGGAAGAAGGTGAGAAAATGGAATGGGAGGGAGCTGCGGCCATCGAATGCTTAGTGAAGCGTGAATCTTGGTTTGGACGCTTTGTGCGGACAGTGAATATAAAATGCTGAATCAGCGGGGGTAAGGGTCCTGAGGTGCACGTCAGCCCTGGCTCCAGGTCCTGGGCTCCGGCTGCAACAAGGTGATTGAGGCCACCCAGTCTCTTTGGTCTTCCAGTGGACTCTCTACCCGGGAGCCGGGGTGAGGATTTCAAAACGGGAATCCAAACACATTGCCTCTTAGAATCCCATAGCTCTCATCCTAAGGTCTTCACCAGCTTCCTCCATGACTCGGCCTCTCTTGGGCTCCCTCTTGCAATCAAGACCTCATGACAGCATCTAGAAAGGGCCATGGTCCTTTTTGCCACAGGACCTTTGCACAAGCTATTCTGTCAGCTCAAAACCCTTTTTTCCTTCCCATGCCTCCGTTTCACCTAGTTAATGACTCTGCTCACTTAAAATGATGCTTCTCATGAGCACCTTCCCTGACGCCCACATCCTCCATCTTTATGTTCCCAGAATCACATCACATCTCTCCTCTTGGAACCACAAATTTTACCTTTAGTCATGCAATTATTTCATTATGAGCCCCCTTTCCACTATCCCAAGGGTTGGAAAAGTAAAGCCTTAAAGCCAAATTCAGCCCCTCATCTGCTTTTAAACTGTATTGGAGCACAGCCACACCATTCAATGATGTATTTATTGTCTAGGGTTACTTATACACTGCAATGGCAGAGTTAAGTAGTTGTGACAGAGACTCGATGGCCCACACCATCTTAAGTACTTTCTCTCTAGCCCTGTGGAGAAAGAGGTGGCTGACCCGTCTACTACTAGTTCCAAGAGGGCAAGGATCTTATCTGGTGTTTGCCCCACATTTTCCCTTTATGTATAAGGAAGCGATCAAATAAGCTGTGTGGTTTGAGCAATTTGCTTAACCTCTCTGAGCCTTGGGCTCTTTGAGAGCTCAGAAATAATTTTAATGTCAGTTTCTGTTTCAATTTATGTTGCAGAGTGACCTCCAGCTTCCTTACTCCTGGAGGGCAGCCCTTTTGTTCAGGAGTAAGGATCCTGGGAGGCTAGGAATGACTTCAGCCTTTGCTTCAAGGCTCCCACTGCAATGGAGCAAACAACAACAGCCTTTCTATCTTGAATGGAAGAGGAAGAAGCAAGAGAGGCAGAGAGAAACAGAAGGAAATAATTTCCCTTGGAGAACCCCACCAGAAAGGACTTGTTTCTTGCACATGCATAGATTGAGCCATGCTGGGTTCCATTGGAAGATGCAACCAAGACAAAATCACCATCAGGAGCACTGGCTATGTGCCAGGCACTGTGAGAGGGGATTCTCATAAAAATCACCTTGCTTAAGCCTCAGAAAATGCTATGGGTTCTTTATGATTATTCCCATTCCCCAGCTGAGCAAACTGAGCCAAAGGAGATGTGATCAACGTGTGAGCAAGGCTGAGGGCGGCTATGTGTGTGATCGGGCAGCGTGCTGGAAGGGCAGGGAAACCCACAGTTCATGAAGTGTTCTCTGCTGCCTCAGCGTCACCATGGGGGCTGCCATGGTGTGACAAGAACTTGGATCAGTCTATTTGAATCCTCCGAGGTGCCTTGCAAGGACCAGGGGGCTGTTCAAAGGGCCCACTCCCAAATAGATTGGCCCCATATGGAGGAAAACCACA